GAATGACTGATGATAAAACACGTTCATCAGTAGCATCAAATGCTTCTAATGGTGCTACTACTAATAGTACTAATAATAGCAATACTACAACTAATAGTACATCAAAATCTAATCAAAAAGATCTGAAACCTAATTATACACTTAAATTTACTTTAACTGGTCATTTAAAAGCTGTATCATCATTAAAATTTTCTCCAACAGGTGAATTACTTGCATCAGGTTCAGCTGATAAAACAATTAAATTATGGGGTGCACATGATGGAAAATGGGAAAAAACAATTAGTGGTCATAAATTAGGTATATCTGATTTAGCATGGTCATCCGATAGTCGTTATTTAGTTAGTGCTAGTGATGATAAAACATTAAAAATTTGGGATGTTGCGAAAGCAAAATGTTTAAAAACATTAAAAGGTCATACAAATTATGTATTTTGTTGTGATTTTAATCCACAATCAAATTTAATTGTAAGTGGATCATTTGATGAAAGCGTTAAAATTTGGGATGTTAGATCAAGTAAATGTTTACGTACATTACCAGCTCATAGTGATCCTGTAACAGCTGTTCATTTTAGGTAAGTTAAAAAAAAAACATTTTTTTTAGTTCTTAATTTATTCATTATATTAAAAATAATAGTCGAGATGGTACAATGATTGTATCATCATCTTATGATGGTCTTTGTCGTATATGGGATACATCATCTGGCATGTGTTTAAAAACATTAATTGATGATGATAATCCACCAGTTAGTTTTGTTAAATTTTCTCCAAATGGTAAATATATTTTAGCAGCAACACTTGATAATACATTAAAATTATGGGATTATTCAAAAGGTAAATCATTAAAATTATATACTGGACATAAAAATGAAAAATATTGTTTATTTGCAAATTTTTCTGTAACTGGTTCAAAATGGATTGTATGTGGTTCAGAAGATAATTGTGTTTATTTATGGAATTTACAAACAAAAGAAATTGTTCAAAAACTTGAAGGACATACAGATGTTGTTATGTGTTGTGCATGTCATCCAAAAGAAAATATTATTGCTAGTGGAGCATTAGAAAATGATAAAACAATTAAATTATGGCGAAGTGACATTTAAAAACGAAAAAAGAAATTGTTTGTTTTTCTTTTTTATTGTCTGTTTTGTGTAGATACATACTTTCTGTTTTGTATTAATTAAGAGTTTGTTCTTTATGATCTTGTCATTGTCATTTATTGAATATAAACAAAAAAATGCAAATTATACGAACAAAAACAAAGGAATATTTTTTTTTTTTTGTAAATTAAACATAAATAGGAATATTTTCTGTCTGGTTACCAAGAGAACGCGTTTGTTTCGTACACCACTATTCAAGAAATTTTATTTGTTATTCAATAAATAAATATTAATATTAATTTTACTTCAAATCTTAGAGCTACTGATAAAACAAAAGTATAATGTCTATATCACCAATGATGAATTAAGAATGTGAATGTATTTAACAAATAATAATCAAGATAATATGCTAGATGTTGATTGAAAATATCAACAAGTTTCAATAGCTAGAATTGATGGTATATGAATAGATTTTAAATGTGTGTTAATCTATGCGGTGAAAGTCTTGGCATAAAAGGTTAACTCAATTTTCTGCTATTTAAAAACATTTAGTTATTTCTTACTGACTGGTAGAGACAGCTTTTTATTTACCAGTCGATCTGAATTATTTTTTTTTTTGAAAAATTGAACATAAAAGTTGTTTTTTTTCGCAAATCAAAAGCTTTCTACTAATGTCAAAGATTATATCGGTGAGAAAAAATGCATTAGACTATTCTATTAAGTAAAAGTTATTCATAGTATTCTTATTATTTATTTTCTCAATCCACTTTTGGTATGACGCCACGTTATTAAAACAAACTCGAATAATTGTTTAGCACTGTAATTTTTCATAGATTTTTTTGTATTTCCTACTATTCATAGCATGAGATAACAAGGCGAATATAGAATAGAAGGTAGATTAAGTATACAGTTAATAAATAGTGTTGATGCCAGAAGACTAGTTAATTACAGAAGAAAATTAATATAGAATTTACAGCCCTATGAAGTTTTCTGTTCACTAACAGATGTCAAGAAAGAGAAAACATATGAAAATATATAGTGAAAAGCATTATAGTGGTGAAACAGTGCTGTTGAACCATTACTGTAGTAATTAGGAATAAGATATGACTAATTTAGAAGTTGATTTGACTGCTATAGAATCAGAACAAAAGAGGAATAACTCACGCCAGTATACGAGCCGATCCAGTCTAACCGGTTGGATTGCTAAGGAAAAAATCCTATTGATCCCAACTATAACATGATAAGATGATCTAAATAGAAGAAAAGAAAATTATTTTTATACAATAATACTTACTGCTGAAATTTGTTTGAAAATCACCAATTAATTGCCGATTTTTCAACAGATTCCATCAATAAGTATTATTATAAAACAAATAATATTTTTTTTCTTTTATTTAGATCATCTCGATGAACAGCAAGTATTATTTTAATAAAACAAAAACCTTTTTTCCTGTATTATTTACTGTGGATGGGAAAAAAGAAACCATCTCTCTCCTCATACACGAGAAACATGTATGAGCACGATGGTAAATGACGATGGCATACACGTCGAGACATAATCATAGTCGTACATCCAAATATTACGACCAGGTCTGATCACCGTAAATATTATTTGGATAATCACGATTTTCTCTAAAAATCAGAAAAAATCGCCAGGTTAGGCGATTAATCAGTCTAATAAATCGCGATAAAATCGCGGATTTTTGTGCAATTTTGATGACATGGAAGGTTTATTGATATGATGTCTGTCTGTATAAAAGAATGAATATGTTCACGTCGATTGAGAGAAGTCGCACCTGTCTAAAACATCTTCAGCTTTTTTGGATTAAAGTTTCGTATATGTCAGAAATGTCCATTGCGGCTGGAAATATGTGACTGTCACACCGCCGTCCTATAAGAGTCAAGACTACTGCGTCGCTGATCCCGTCGCGGCAGCAGTAGCACGAACATTTCTGGCATATACACGTAAAATATCAGCAAAAATAGCGTAGATCAGTTGTGCACTTTCTCAGTTTAATTTTAAAACTCCTTATCTGCAATAAATTTATTATCTTATAATCGATTTCATCATATTAACTTTTTTCTTCATCTTTCATTATAATTATTCTCTAGATTTTCATAATAGAATTCATTTCATTTCATATTAATACTTAGATGTCGCTAAGTACTGTTGTGAATAATTATTTGACTATTTCATTGGATCTATTAACTTGTCCATGAAAAGAGAATAAATTGCAATGGACATATATATCTATTGTTATTATCGATCAATGTCTCTTCTATTTTCTATATTCAAATAAATTTGCTCAACGATTATTGTGCATAATGAAGTCGCTTAATAGTTGTGTTCAAGAATTTATTAATCATCATTCATCAGCACTATTTCCATCAGATAATGCAACAGATATTCGTCATCCTCGATTAAATAGATTTAATTCAATTGCCTCGTCATCCATTGATATTGAAGATGAAGATCCAAGTTTGTTATTATTTTGCATCATAAAAAAAAAATAATATTTATTATAAATATATATAGATCTGTTTGTTATTACTCCACCGATAGAATATTTTCTTCATGTTCCATCACGACTATGTCGTGAACAATTTTTTAAAGTAATTTTTCATTTATTCTTTTTAAATATTACTGAACAGCTTGTTTTTTGTAGTTAATTCGTCCTGGTCATCTTCTTATTTGTCATGTATTGACTGCTAGTTCACGTGATATGCTTGTACGTATTTTATGTTTTGATGATGGACATCGACGAGCATTACATGACCTTAAACTTACTGTAAGTATAATTTCATGTCAATAGTTAATAAAGAAAAAACAATTATGATTTAAACTTTAGGCAACTTGTCTATTGAATACATCAAGTAGTAAGAATAATAATAATTATCGTAAAAGAAATAAATATGATCGAGATGTACAAGAAATGAGTGATGAAGATAAAGATGATGGAGAATATCAAAGTGGAGATTTTATACGAGGTAAATTAGTTGTTATATTAAAAATAAAAATCTTAATGTTATTTTTCTTTTATTATGTATTTAGCTTGTGTAAATCATGTTGATATAAACAAAGAAGAAATTCAATTAACAATTGATCTATCTTTAAATCGTATGTATTCATAATTTACTTTTGTTTTATTTTTCTAATTCTATTCTATCTTAGAACATCATCATTCTTCTAAAAAGCTGGTAAATAATTTAAATAAAAATTTTTTATTCAAATTAATATGTCATTTTTATTTAGGGTCTTATTAATGAAGATGATTTACCAAAACATTATGTGTAATTGATAAACACTTGTTTTCTTGCATATAACAGATATTCCAAAATGTTTTCAGCATGGTTTATTTCGCACCTTAAAATCTTGAATCTTTCTTTAGAGAAGAGGTGCCGTTCAGTTCTTTACAAATTCCAATTAATTCTATTTAAAAAGAATAGAACTAAACGT